CAGTAATTTCTAAGCTTTTGGAAAGATCCTCAATAGAATAAATGGCCAACTGGATCGGCTAGCTTGGATCCCTAATCATCAGTTTGGCTTTAGGCCGGCTCACTCAACTGTGCAGCAGTGTCACCGCCTTTCGGATATAATCGCCAAATCCTTCGAAAGAAAAGAATACTGTACGGCAGCCTTCCTAGATGTGAAGCAGGCATTTGATAAAGTGTGGCATCCAGGCTTGTTGCATAAAATAAAGAAAGTATTGCCAGCCAAGAAGATCAAGTTGCTACAATCCTACTTAAGTGACCGCTGCTACAAAGTTAAAGTAAACAGTGAGACTTCAAGCTACTACCCTATGAAATCAGGAGTCCCACAGGGCAGCATACTGGGTCCCTTACTATATGTCGTATATACAGCGGATATACCCACAACAACTGAAACAACAGTTGGCACATTTGCAGACGATACGGCGATTCTTGCAACTGATGAAGATCCCGACCACGCTTCAAGTAAACTACAGAGGCACCTAGACGATATAGGAAGTTGGCTGAACAAATGGAAGATCAAAGTCAACGAACCAATCCACGCACATCACCTTCACTCTCCGCAAAGGACAATGCCCAGCTGTTTCCTTGAATCGAGTCACCATACCTCAACATGCAAGTGTTAAATACCTGGGATTGCACATGGACGACAAAATAAACTGGAAGCAACATTTATCCAAGAAAAGAAAACGGATGGACTTGAAAAGTAAAGAGTTAAATTGGCTGATAGGACGCAAATCAAAGCTAAGCATAGAAAACAAGTTACTGATATACAAAGCCATCATCAAGCCCATTTGGACTTACGGGATCGACATCTGGGGCTGCGATAGCAAGTCAAACCTTTCAATCATTCAACGAGCTCAATCAAAATCCTTAGAAGCATTGCAGATGCACCATGCTAGGCTTAGCGACCATCCAAACCCACTGCTGCCATCGCTATTAGATCCCACTGAGACCAGGAGACTGAAAAGGAAATTGCCACTAGACTTGCAAGACTTAGGTGACATCGTTGGATGTCTGCTTCAATCCCGTCATGAGGTACAACTACTTAAAAATTGTACCATCCAGCAAATTAGCTTATAGAATGTACATACATTCTGATCGCTAATAAGTAGAGAAAAGAAAAAAAAACTGCAAGATCGCATCTGGATGATTATGCGTATTGTCTGTACGTGTAGAAAATCAGTGATATTTGCTGTGTGAGAAAAGCATTACTGAATATGCTGCCAATGAAGTATATCTATTAGCTGTGCCCGACGGTTATTTATATTGAAGACAAGCTTGTTCAAAGTTATAAATTACGATTTTTTACGTTTTTTTATGTTTTCAAAAACTTTGAAGAGAACAACGGGAAATCAACACCGCGCCCGCGTTGTGTGTAATCAAAGTTAACATGTATATGACTTGTAATTTCAAAGTGTACGGTGAACATAATTATTTCTTAACTCAAGTAATTTCCAGAATGGATAAAAAACAGCCGATGCGCTACTAATTTTTAGCTTTGAACCTCAAGTAAGTGTATTTGTAATCCTCACTATGCACCTATGCATTGCCGTTACCTTCTAGCTATAACATACAACTTACAGCTTAGACCTCCAGTAATGTCATCTCTGAAGCAGATTTTACATCACATCAGAGCCAAACAATGGTAACTGAAGCATCAGGACGTTTAGGCAACACGTACAACTGCAAAACGAGTTCACAAGTGTCCATCAGCTAGTGCTAAGTCGATTTCTCGTAGAAGAACCTACATAGTATCTCAAAAAACCACTACAATGTCAAAAATTCGACATAATGTCACTTTTCAAGATACGTAAAGCACGTGCAGGCCTGGACGTGTGAAGTTCGACACGGTTAGGATGCGAGACCGAAGTCGGGCGCATCTGTTTCAACGCGGTGCGGCGTCATAGAGAAGGACTCGGAGGAGCAAAGCTTGTTACATAACGGTAGAAGAGAGCCAAGACCGCCGGCGGCTCGTTGGTGCGAAATGGTCCCGAGACTGTTCGTGAGAGGAGAGTCATCTATCAGCTGGACAGCCCCCCTCGGATTAGCATCAAGCTTGGTAGTTTATGAATACCAATGGAAGAATAAATTTACTAGGTTTTTGTTTCTGAAAGAACAGCTGCATACGAGAACTTCAAAACGTAAAATAAAAGTTTGCATGGACCTAAGATGTTTCTATTGGTGATGTTCCAGATACCAGACTTATAAAATGGGCTGTCCGCAACCTTTCTGTATTATAATCAAAGGCGGGTATTTATTTATGCTATTGCTATTTACAGAGGGTAATTTGAAAAGCGTTGGGAATTTTTTTATAAAAATAGGTCCCAAAATGTCCCTTTACCATGTTATAGGGTGTTTGCATAGGATATAAACATTCCTCAAATAACTTTGGGATAAATGACATTAGAATGCATTGGCAATCAGAGATACAACGGGATGAACGTTAACCCCAATCTCTTGTTGGACATTTTTCGTATGTGAGTTATTGATTTAAATCTCAAAACAGAGATAGAGTTAACGTTTATGTATGATGTATTTATGACTGCCAAAACTCTCTATTACCTCCTTCACATGCTACTTACAATTCTCAATGCCAACAACCAATCACTAAATTAATTTTAAGATGAACTTAGAACTCCTAAATTCTAGTTAACAGTGTCAAGGGTACCCCTCAAACTGACGCTGTACTGGTTTCCGTTCCTTGGAGAGCCAAAACTTCAATCTTGAGCCCTTGGTTGGAAGGCCAAAATGTCGTGGACTGGGAGATGTGACAGCAAAAAATGGTGAAAACACTTTATTGTATACTTTGCATAGAGAGATCTTGCCCCGACAATATTATTTGGATCGGTTAACAGAGTCGTATCCTCACTTACTGCCTGATCACCATCCAGTGCCGTGCACATTTTATTTATTGTTTAAAACCACTTCAACCCACTTCCTCCTCTTTGGTCTTCTTCTTCTTCCCTTTTTCGTTTCTTCTCTTCTTTCTGGCGTTGTCCGTTACAGCAACCAGACCTGACAGACCCACTGGCCTAAGATACTTTAATCGAGAGCAAGGTCCCTCGGACCGCTCTGACAGTCAATGATAGAATAGAGAACTCTCAAGGTCAAACTTCACTATCAGCGATTTTGGCTCCAATATTCAATTCAAATTTTCGTAGTAGACCATTTTCTTTAAAAAATGCCTTGCAAAAATGTTTTGCTCCAGACACTGGGCATAGGGTTTAGGCTCTGAGTCAATATATCGGTCAGTCAGTCAGCGCCCTTTTTATACAGCGTGAAAGTATTTGCAGAATAGAAAGTACATCAAAAAAAGTTCCAATAAAAATGAATCCAAACATGCTCCAATGCCATGTCTATGAACGCCACTGGTCCTCATGGTATACTTCCTCTGGTATTACCCATGCTAGATTCTTCTGTTCGTCTAAGATCACAACTGGTAATTGTGGAACCAATCAATTTGAGTAAAATGCTCATTTTACTTCTGAAATTATCGGCCTTTTCTTCTCAAAATCCGACACATTTCGGATTGAGTGAGCTCAACAAAGAAGATATCAAAAACCATTAGCAAACTCTAACGCGAAGTATCAGGAGGAGGAAGACCTATCTAAACGACTGATGTGACAAAAATTCCTCAGGAGACGAAATTTATGAAAAATTCAATTGCATTTTATAAATTGCGCTTCTCTGCTCCACAAAGGCCAGTGTCGTAGAAATATTTTCTACTAGAAGTTGCTACGACCTTGGTTCAATTAGGGCACGGAAACTATGTTTATTAGTAATGATATGCTGAACGTCTATTATCTCGATTCTTTACACAGAGTGAAATATTGAATACTTACATTAAAAATAAAAATATACTTAACCCTGGCAAATGAAAAGATTAGGCAAATAGTTAGCGTGTTTTGAGATGAAATAAATTCATCAAAAAATGCCTTGCAAAAATATTTTTCTCCAGGCCTCGCATATTCAAAGGACGGCTCTGGGCACAGCGGTTTCGGCTCTAAGTCAATATGTCGGTCAGTCAGTCAGCGCCACATCGTGATTCAGAAAGTAGTGAAAATATTTTCAGAATAGAAGGTACATCAAAAAAAGTTCCTATAAAAATGAATCAATCCTAATAAGCTCCCCTACCTTGTCTATGAACCCCACTGGTCCTCATGGTATACTTCTCCTGGTATTACCCATGCTAGATTATGGAAGTAATCAATTTGAGTAAAATGCTTATTTACTTCTGAAATTATCGGACTTTTTTTCTCAAAATTCTCAGCATTTCGTAGTAAGTCGACAACAACGAAGATATCACATCATTAGCAACCTCTGATGCGAGTATCAGGAAGAGGGAGACCTAGCTAAACGATTCATCTCAGAAAAATTCCTCAGGGGACGAAATTTGTGAGAAATTCAATTGCATTTTATAAATTGCGCTTCTCTGCTCCGCAAAGGCCAGTGGCGTAGAAATATTTCTACTAGGTGTTTCTACGACCTTGGTCAATTAGGGCTAGGAATCTCTGTATTTTTCATAGATATACTTTTTTCAATTTCGTAAATAAAACTGCATTACCCTGTATCCCGGTAGGGGAGCAACTTTAGACCCATACTTATAGGAACTTTTTTCTTATTTTTGAATGTACTTTGTACCCTAGCGATATAAGCACGCGTTTCTGATACATCCTATTTATATTTTTTGTGAATCAATAGTTATAAGAATAAATGCTTCAAAGAAACCGTATTTTTTTCCAAGATAGCCATTATATTCGAAATTCTCAGATTACTCCAATTTATTATACGTTTTTGTATTAGAAGTACGTGATTTGATGAAAAATGCTCTTGTCTTACCTCTTCCCAAACCAGCTGTTTACTGATGCCAGGTCTCAGGTTCATGATCTTCAGTTCCGCTGCTTTAAGTACACCATCTTGTGTGAATTCTAATGGTGGTTTGCCTGCTTCTAAAGACTCTATGCTCACGTTTCTCAAATACCTGGAATAGATAACAGTGCGCTTACACATTTTGCTACTAGGATCAAGTTATGCATACATTAAAAAGTGAAAGTTCGTTGAACTATGGATCGAGTTTTATTTAAAATAGCAGAAGCGCATCGTGAAATTGAAGGGCTTTTTTCCCGTTACCAAAATATTTTATAATGGTTTTTAAATGCTTCCAATTATCCAGTTGCTAATGGCAGTAAGCCAAAGCAAAGTATAAGATCTACGGTCACCAACTTGGCTCTAATTACTCAGTACATTTCTGAAGTACTGGACGGTTAGGGACAAGTTGATGTCATCTACACAGATATTCAGAAGGCGTTTGATCAAGTTGATCATTATGCACTTCTGGATAAGCTTAAACAGTGGGTATGTCTGATTGCAATGCTGTCGCTCATGAATTCATATTTGAGGGATAGAGGTTATTTGTCCGAATATGGTGGTCATAGGTCGAGTTACTATTGGGCCACGTCTGGGGTACCTCAAGGGTCAAATCTAGGTCCATTATTGTTTTTAATATTTATTAATGACTTGTCTTTTGAACTGAAGTGTTTCCATTTGTTTTTCGCTGATCACCTTAAAATCTGTACGTCAGTCAAGACAGTCGAGGATTGCGTCATGTTGCAAGATGACTGAGCTCTAATTCGTCATGGTGTTCACGAAACTGTCTCAGTCTGAATGTTCCGAAATGTAAAGTTATGACTTATACAAGAAAAGTTAACTATTTAATTTATAATAATTATAACATCGATGGTCAGGTTATAGACAGATGCACCTTTTTATAGAGACCTTGGAGTCATTTTTGAAGCTAACGTTTACTGAGCATATACTCAATATCTCGTCGGCTGCCACTCGACTACTTGGTTTCTTTATCAGAAACTGGAAGGGTTTCTCCAATGTTGATACATTAATGACTTTATTTTTTTACTTTTGTCAGGAGCAAGTTGGAGTATGCGACTCTGATCTGGTCGCCTATATACCAAAGATCTGTCGTGATCCTTGAGGCCATTCAACGTAAAGCTTCAAGGTATTTTCACCTTAAATGCACAGGTTCTTATCCAGAAAGAGGTTGTGACCATAGTGCCCTATTAGAG